TACACAAAGAAGAAACTAAACATGTTTAGTTGTGTTAACTTGATAACATCAGTACAATGTAGTAAATACATTTAGTGGTTACTACTAATCAATTTTAGTAGTGACTACTAAATGTATTTACTACATTGTACTGAGGTTATCAAGTTAACACAACTAAACATGTTTAGTTTCTTCTTTGTGTAAAAACTAGAATGGTTTAAGGCAACGGGTTTCCACGCGATTTTCTAGTAAAGTCAACTAGTTCGGGTTAAGAGTGATAGTTGTATACAATTACCATTTTAAGTTATATTTACATAACCATATAAAGCAAATAACCAATATAACATTATTTAAAGCTACTTATGTTTTCTTAAAATAAGTAATAACATTTCCTCTACTGTAATTAAGTACTCTTTTGATCTTCAAATTGAATTCAATGCAACACCAAATTTTACAAAAGGGGAGAAATCAAACAAAACATTACAATGTTCCAATATATTTAATTTTCACAGAAAATTGCTGCAAAAGAACATTTTAAGTGCAATTTGTCATCAAGCTTGGCTCAAGTAAAAAAAAGTATTAAAACAATAATTGCTATTAAAATAACAGCTTGTCATCCAAAAGTCAAGTAAAAGTAGGAAATAAAAGTGCTTGACATAATTATAAATTGTTTAAATAAGGAATACAAAAACAGCAGCATTCAATAACTTGTGTATCCTTGTGAAAAACTGGACACAGTAAAATTAGACAGTCCTAAATCTTCAACTTGAAAAGGAGCAGATAAAATGTGATAAAGGTAAGATTTAGCATGTTTTATGTGAATGTACAGTCCGTGTTGTTGGTAAATTCAGTCAACTGAAGCAATAAATTCCTGAAAACTTATGAAGCTAAATATTTTGTGATGTTGCTGTTAAGGAAGAACTACATGTTATTTCACCTTAAAATTCTCGTGTTCTCCTCTGTGCAGACGAGGAGTGTGCTAGATACTACTGCATAGCTCTGTGAGCAGGAAATCTTTTTTGGTCAATCGAGCACACACGTTTCAACTTACTGCTTCAACTGACTATTTTTACCATCAACACTGACTGGACATTTACATGAAATGTGCTGAATTTTCCTCAAACTGTATTATATAAACTGAGATTTATCTATCCAATCCTGAGCATACACTTCTCAATCCTGTACTGAAGAACATAAGTGGTTGGACATTCATGTATCTTATAACATTGTAAACTGAACATTATCAGCTAACCGTTGTTGTAGAGCTGTTGCATTGAACTGCATTAGATTATGTAGGTAAGAAAGTGGCTACTGAGACTATATTCAATCCCAACTGTTCAATGACACAATACAATAGACATTTCTTTACATCGCAAGCTGGTTTTTCAATGTTTGTAACTTTGGTTTTAGTTCACTTTGGCCCAGCTCAAAAAATATCTGTTGGATGAACTGGAATGTGGACTTCATAGAACTGGGGTAGTTGAAATGCATAGCATATGCAAGTCCAAAGAGAATGCACATAGCTTTTGGCAGGTCTTGAATGTTGGCCATCACCACTTCTCCCTCCATGATGATTTTCTGAGAGGCTGGACTGAGATGCAAGGAGGATGAGGGCACAGTACCTTCAGGTTCAACGAGGAGAATCCCAATATCAATGTTGCGGAACGAGTCATCATCATCAGAGTCCTTAATAAATGACATGAGCACAACAGAGACAATTATCATTAAACAACCATCAATAATTGATCAAAATAATGATTTCCATAAACCAATTACAATATTTGTCATATCTTCTGTTTTATCACAACATGCAGCCCTAGTTTCCTTGTGTAAATTGTGTATTAGTTTGAGCTCCACAAAAGGACACATGATCATGTGCTAGTGGTAACTGGAACAATACCGTATTCTTTCAATTGTTTAAAACTATGCTCACAGGTTTTTTTCAAATACAGGAACTGTCATCAGGGTTCCCACATCTGTCTCGGCTCAAATTTCAACATTTTTATTTACCCTTTATTTCTACAGATAGTCTCATTGAGTCACAAGAACTAATTTCAAGAGACCTGTTTAGGGAGCAAATAGTGGGGTTAAGGGCCTTGCTCAAGGGCCCAGAGTGGGGCAAATGAAGGTTGAGGCAGGTGTGGATGTTTCACCTTTTCCACCCACATTTTGACATTGTTAGTCTGGGGAGTTGAACCGGTGACTTTCTGATCACTGGCCCATATTCTCTAACCTCTGCTCCACCACTCCCTCATGAAACAGCATAGCATAAAACATAAGCATAAGAGTTTATGACATGAACTCAACACAGCATAGCATAAGACATAAATTAAAATTAAAGGGATAGTTTGGATTTTTTTAAAGTGGGGTTGCCTGAGGTGCTTACAGATGGTCAGCATGTTACCTACAGTAGATGGTGGGCAGCATTTCCCCAGTTTGGAGAAGCAGCAGGACGATCAGTGTAAGAAGATAAGCAGTGTACTTTTGTGGACATGGTCAGCAGCAGTTTGTACTTTTAGACACCGCGAAAAATCTATTTGTTTCAGTGGACGCATATTTAGTATATTTTCAGCACCTTACATTGCTGTCTGACATGACTTTTCTGACTTGAAATGTAAGTTACAGAGCTCTCTTCACACCAACCAAATGTCATAGACAAGATTAATAAATTTACCTCACAGAACACAAGAGTTACTGGTCTACCATGTCACTGTTAGTTTGTGCTATTGTGTGATTTCAGTGAATTCAGTAAAAATAACCCAATCAAACAGATCGAGGCAGCAGTAGAAGAGCAGCTCCTGTATTCAGCAAAGTAAAATGACTAACTATGCCTATGGAGTTTGGTTGGGCAGGAGCAATATTTATATAACGTATACAACAGTTATTTTATGTAAGAAGTCTGACTGACAGTAAGGTAAAACAGTGAAAATATTCTATATTAATATATAATATATATAATATAATAATAGTATAATGTACACTTCACTGGTATTGATTTTTTTTAAGTGGCTAAAACAACGTTTTTGCAGACACTGTCCACAGCAGTACGTTGCTTAGTTTCCTACACTGGTACCCCTACTGCTTCTCCAAACTGAGGTCGCGTCGACTGCCACTTACTGCAAGTAATACACTGACTTTGGATAAATAGCTCATACAACACCCCTGCAAAACATTATTGCAAAGTAAATATTAATTATTGCACAAAAATAAATTCAAGTACGTCCAATGATCCATTCGTCTGTGTATTTTCATAAACTTTCCTTGAACTGATTTTTCCAGAAACTCGCAAACCTTCAAGAATTTCAAAGACCCATGAGAACCACGTATAAGAGAAAATTCAAAATTGAGCTGTCAATGTTCCTTTAGGTAATTTTTGAGAAAATAAAATTACTTACAAAGGCTGGTTTGTAGAAGTCTGTGGGGTTGTCACCAAGAATAACAGGAAGTCCTCTGAGCACCAGTGTTCGAATATCAGTTGGCTCTGCAGTCTGTTGGGCAGTAAAATGACAAACACACATGAGCAAATGATTGCATTACACAGTGTGAAGTTCCCACAGCTTCATAAACATCAATATCAAGGACTTTTGAAGGCATTGCCTAAAATTTAAGAACACATGCATCATGGTTAATTAACGTACTGTTACAACATTGAGAAGAGCTAGCAGGCTGTACTGAAGTTCTCTGAAAGTTTTAGTGAAGTTCAGAAACTCGCAGCCTTGTTTTTCCAACCTTTGATTTAAAATCTAACATTTCAATAATCTATGGGAAGCATGAAAATGAATAGTTACACTTGAAGACATGAGCTACTGAAAACAATAGGACCAACCCTGGTCTGTTGGGAAAGCTGTGTCAACACTTGGCCAGCGTTCCCTCTCTTGGATCGAAAAATCTCGACAAGACGAGGACTATGTCGATCGATGCTCTCATAGAATTCCTGCTTGAGATTCTTGCCAACAATCCTGTTGAACTCCATGCATACCTGCAAAATACAGAGAATGTTCCAGTATCACATCTCAACAACTAATAACCTTAGCTGAAAGCACCAGTGTGAGGGCAGCAAAAAAAAAATAAAAAGCACAGGTGTATACATGGTCAGATGCAAAACGCAAAGCCCCCTAAAAAAACAAGATTTTTCTAGTCAAACCTTTTTTTTGGACAAAAAGTCTATGTACTGCGCACAACACAGGAGTTGCTTGTCTATTGCTTTGCTTGTTTGTGGTTGTGTGACCTCTGTGAATTCAAATGGACAATTTAAGCACTGATGGCTTCCACAACAATATATATTATTAAATAGCTTTGTTATTCAATTATGATTTGTAAATTTCAGCATTCTAACGTCTGTTACTTCTGTGTAGCAGACCATTGTTATAGAAGACTATTAATATTTTGTGTCAAATTATGGATTTTTGTTGGCAAGTAACCTTTTAATAAGCAGAATAGTGCACAGTGAGCAGGGCATTACTGCATAATACACCCCTTCAGGATAATCTGAAATCTGAGTCCTGCATCAGGCTGTTGGGGTTAATTTTGCAATAATGACCTGCTCACAATACAATTTCCCTTACCTAACAGATAGAGGTAGTTGTAGACAGCAACTCTCATATCCTACAAGGTAAAATTACAGTTTGTGCTGACAGTCTGGATGGGTAACAAATATATTTGGGTCCTATAATGGCATCTTCCTATTGGAAAGACAGCGATGTAAGCAAGGAAAGGTAATATTTCTGGTGAAGCTTCCATGTTTTAACCTGTAATGTTTTAACAGGTAACCCCTTTTCTCTGTTATAAACTCACAGTATTTGCACCTCCACTGCATCTTCACACAAACCTGTAAAAAAATAAAACTTTTAGCACACTTATCCATGACCATATGTCATCAAAGATCAAGGAAATATGGTACTTTGAAATATTCTCGCCCTTTAATTATTCTGGCTGAGAACAGAAATTTCAGTTTTCTTGTTTAACGTTATTTAGAGTTAAAATTAATGCAGAATGAGTTGGGCTTGCCTTTTTATCAGCAGACAATTGAAAGAGTTAATAACTTGTTATTGTCACTTTATTTTAATAGTCTGGTGATGGGGGGAGCTGGCAACAACCATAGCTCTTTACTCCTTCAGGATTTCAACGTGGCTCCAAATTATTTGTTAACTGCTGCACTATTTTACACACATAATTGTCACATATTGCTCATTTAACTAATCTCTACTAAAAACCAGCTAATGACCAAGTCCATTACATTGTCAGTCAGACCGTAATCGTATAGAACGTGAACTAGCTAACACAAGCACGTTCTTCTTTTTCTTTTCTTTAAATTGTATTATATTTGTTGTTTGGATGAAATGAAATGAATAAATAAAACATACATACATACATACATACAAGCACGTGCTGCAACGTGAAGTTAAGCTAATCTAACTATACAAATTAGCTGACTTGATACAACTGGAGCGCATTAAAGATAAAAAAATATACCACAGACAGGATTCACTCGGTATGAACTTGTGCTATAAAGGTTGCTTTCAGCAGCCTACATCTCTCCTAAAGCAACTTTCCGTAATAAACTGTGAACTGAGAAAGTTAGCATGCTCTAAACTAAATCCTAGCACACTATTCATTGAGCATTCGCGCTCACCACTCCAAAACCCTCAACTTTACCAAAACTACGATAACGGTCGGCTGTTACTGTAATGTTAAGTTACATCTGCACGTGGAGCACAGCTATCTTTTACGTAGAGAAATGTCTACAAATATCTAAAATATTTGTTACTTACCAATCCACTTTCACTCAAAGTCCGACAGTAGTAGCGACGCTGTGGTGGAACTTGCCGGAACACGTGCAGCAGGGCAGAGTTTGAATAGGCCCCGCCCCTTCATTTCAAAATCAAAACATCTTTAGTAATCTCTGCTTAACAAGATCATTACACTCTATATTTTAGTAAAAAAGTACAGTCAACTTATATTGATTTAGTAATGAGACAACATTTTTACAAAACATAAAATAATAATTAATGATTACTAAAAAGTGTAAATACAATTGATATCAGGGTTAAGAGTGTGATAGGACTCCTTCTTCAGCCTGATAGCGTCTCTCACTGCCGGTGTCCACCACCGGGTTCGAGGGTTGTCGTCGCGACAGGCCCTGACAACCTTGCGGCCGCAGCTCCGGTAAGCCACCTCGACAATAGAGGCACGAAACATGGCCCACTCAGACTCAATGTCCCCCACCTCCACCGGAACATATTCTAAGTTCTTCCGGAGGTGGGAGTTAAAGCTCCGTCTCACAGGAGACTCTGCCAGACATTCCCAGCAAACCCTCACAATACGTTTGGGCCTGCCAGGTCTGACCGGCATCCTCCCCCACCATCGGAGCCAACTCACCACCAGGTAGTGATCAGTGGACAGCTCCGCCCCTCTCTTCACCCGAGTGTCCAAGACATGTGGCCGCAGATCAGATGAGATGACAACAAAGTCGATCATCAAACTGCGGCCTTGGATGTCCTGGTGCCAAGAGCACATATGGACACCCTTATGCTTGACTATGGTGTTTGTTATGGACAATCCATGACGAGCACAGAAGTCCAACAACAGAACACCACTCGGGTTCAGATCTGGGGTTCCTCCCAACCACACCACTCCAGGTCTCACTGTCATTGCCCATGTGAGCATTGAAGTCCCCCAGCAGAACAAGGGAGTCCCCAGGAGGTGCACTTTCAAGTAACCCCTCCAAGAACTCCAAAAAGGGTAGATAATCTGAACTGCCGTTTGGTGCATAAGCAGGAGACATGAAGGGTGAAGAGCAACATCATCAGGCCAGGCAGGACTTGGTCTACACTCATCTCCAGGCCAGCGGTCACTCTTTCAGGGATGAAGATGTTCACATCCTGGACAGAGAGGAACGATGGTTTGAGAGAGGAGTAAAGGAGGCCATGTTTGTGAAAAGAAATCGTCCATCGTTAAACAGGGGTGGAGGCCTCCGGGTTCAACTGTCCCCCTCTTACAATGCTGTGATTGCTAGTATCACTCAGCCCTCTGTGAACAGTAAACAGCCATCAGTGTGCTAATGATCCATTGTTAGGCTGATGGTCCTTCTTGGGCATGTGATCAGCTGGTTTTGGTTGTCAGCAGCAAAACTGGTTGATCCACTCTGAGACGGGGCTATTTAAGAGACTGAGCTGAATACAGCTCCTCAGACTGAGGAAGTCTCTCGGATGAGAGACGAAACGTTTCTACATTTTTTTGTTGATTTGCTTTGTTTTGTTTTTTTGAATGTCCAGAGGACCAGATTTAACTTTTTTAGATTTTTCTACCTGGATTATTGAGCATGCATCAGGATATGTTGCCCTGTATTTTGTTCTGCATAAGCTCTTATAAATTCACTAGGAATATGACAGTCAATCATAGTTTCATATAGCAAATGAGAGGTACATAGGTGGTGCACTACAGATGTGTTGGTTTATTTTTTAGCACATTAAACAAATTTTTAATTTAAACACATTTTTACTCACTTTTGTAAAAAAAAAAAAGGAAAAAAAAAACTTCATAAGAAACACAAAAAAGATTAAATCATTTCATCTGGACCAGTCTCTTTAAGGGAGAAACTTTTCGTCTTCCATCCGGAAGACTTTATCAGTCTGTGGCCTGCCAACCAGATCTGTCCCTTTTTTTTAAATAAGAACCAGTTTTCACCACTTCTACCAGTACACAAGCAAGCAGCACAGGTGATCACTACTCTCAGCTATTCTATCAATAATATCACCTTTGTCCTTTTCCATCAGAACCTGTTTCTCTGTTGCCATCCAGAGAAATGCTTCAAGGTTCTCTTGACTGAGGGAGGTTATTAGGCAGTTCTTCACCAACTTCAGGTTTGAGAAGGTCCTCTCACAGGCAACCTGATTGATGGATAGTGTGAGGAGGAACTTGTAGCCCAAACCAATGATATGATATGCATCAGTAAATGGTAAATGGACTGTTCTTATATAGCGCCTTTCTATCTTATTTTAAGATACTCAAAGCGCTTTACAACACAATCTGTGTCCTCATTTACCCATTCATACAGCACTCTACTAGATCTCTACAAAGCTAATTGAACACATCATTCTAAAGAAACTAATCAGTGCTTTAGATCACATTCATACACCGATGGGACACACATCGGAGGCTATGAGGGGTTCACTGTCTTGGCCAGGGACACTTCGACATGTGACTGCTGGTGGATTCAAACCCCCAACTCTCGTATTGGAGGATGACTGCTCTAACCACTCAGCCTCAGCCGCCATCAGTGAGCAGATTGTATTGTGAAAGGAGTATATAGCAGCATACTGAGCAGTTTTTACATGTGGAACAACTTCTGCTCAACAACTCCACACTTTCATCAGTGTCCTCCATGTATTTGTCTGTTTCATCGCTAGAAGTAATGGTCCTGATGTTGTAGTTATCCAATGATGACTGTTTTAATCTGTGCACAGCTGATCAGTTCAGCCTGCAATCTGTCAACACTGGCACGTCCATCCATTTCCAGCAGGCATTTGCTGAGCTCTCTCATGGCAGTGTCTGGAAGACCTTTCTCCCTGATATCTGGGAAACGTCCTGATGATGTTGCTCTTTGGCCCAGCACAGAAGAGCAACATCATCAGGCCAGGCAGGACTTGGTCTACACTCATCTCCAGGCCAGAGGTCACTCTTTCTGGGATGAAGATCTTCACATCCTGGATAGAGAGGAATGCTGGTTTGAGAGAGGAGTGAAGGAGGCCATCTTTGTGAAGAGAACCGGTCCATCATTGAACAGACGCAGAGACCTCCATATTCAACTGTCTGTCCCTCTTACAATGCTGTTATTGCTGGTGTCACTCAGCCCCCTGTGAATAGCAAGTAGCTATCAGGATGCTAATGATCCATCATTAGGCTGATGGTCCTGCTTGATCATGTGAACAGGAGGATGTCAGCAACAAACTGGTTGATCCACTATGAGAAGGTGCTATTTGAGACTGAGTTTGTTGCAGCTCCTTAGGCCCTATTTACACGGACACGATTGGGGGAAACATGGGTTTTTTGGTATGTTAATTAGAGGAAAAGATTTGCGTTGACACGGACGGATTTTGGGTTTACATCCATCTGAAGTAATCCCTGTGTAAGGATGGCGCCCTCTGCTGGGCCTTCCTTGTCTGTTTTCCCTGTTTTCTCTGATTGTCTCCACCTTCGTATCCTGCCAGGTGTGTGTGATTGTTTCTCAGTGTGTGCTTGTATACAAGTCTACATCTTTGTATTTCTCATTGTCTGGGCATCGTCTGGTATCGTCCTGTGTTTCTGGCTTTCCTTGTGTCCCTGGTTTCCCTCGAGACATGTAAGTGTTTGATGCCACGTCAGCTTATTATTTTTGTATTATTAAAGTGCTTTAATTTCCTCCCTGGTCCTGAGTTCTGCTTGCGCTACTGGGTTCTGTGCCAAACACAAATCCTGACAGTATGCACAGACCAAGAAAGGAACCCAGCGGGCAGTTGACTCAGACAGCCCGGTGGGAGGAAGAATTAAAACATGCCAAGGAAGATGCACCCGTCATTCATTGGAGTGGGTTCTGGATCGAACCTGTCCAGAGATGGAGGCACTGAAGCCCAAAGATTGAGATCCTCCTGTCACCTCTTCTGCTGGAGGAGGAGGAACATGACAGGTCTCAGCTCTGGGGGAGCCGCCTGGCTTATAAACCTAGCTCCTTCTCCTCTCCGACACCACACGAGTTCCTTGAATGGACGCCCGAGGAGGAGGCTGAACCGGAAGAAAGGTTTTGGTTCGGGTCTGGTCCCAGCTCACACCGCCGCCACCGGAGGAGCAGATGGCAAAGAAGGACCAGAACAGCTGATCATCAGCCCCTCCTTCCACCCGAATCTTTCCACTTGTGTTCAGAGGAGCTGGAGAGAAATTTAAAGTGGGGGGGAGTGCCTGAGCCCCCGCTTGCCTGCAGGTCAACCGGACTCTCTCTCTGCAGAGGAGCAGTGGAAACTTTCACAGGGGGGGGGGGGGGGGTACCTGAGCCCCTGCTCACTCGAGGAGCGAGCAGGCTCAGTTTCGACAAAGGGTTCTGGTTCTGCTGAGGGTTCTGCTTCCACAGAGGACTTCCCTGATGTTTTGCCTGATGACGTCATTGCTGTTTCTAAACAGCTTCAAGGATTTTCTACTCTGCCACCCTCAGTTCAGACTGTTGTTACAAACAAGCAGTCTACTCAAAGATGGAGGACCTGCTTGTGTCCAGACCCAGCCTGTTACAGACCCCGGACTTCTCAAAGATGCTTTCTTTGATAACGACTCTTAAGGTACAGTACCAGACACTTGTAAACTCACCTTCTTATGTTATTGTGGGATCAGATCCAGAACCTACCAGGTCTCCAGCACCCGCAGGGTTTCCAGCACCTGCAGGGCCCTGTTCTGAGGAGGTCCTGGCGGACACTACTCACATCCCCTGTTCCGAGGGGGTCCTAGAGGACGCCCCTCATGTCTCATGTCCCAAGGGGGTCCAGGTGGACTCCTCTCCTCACGTCTTCTGCTCCAAGGGGGTCCAGGCGGACTCTGCTCCTCATGTCTCCTGCTCCGAGGGGGTCCAGGCAGACTCCTCTGCTTACGTCTCCTGCTCCGAGGGGGTCCAGGCGAACTCCTCCCCTCACGTCTCTTGTCTCGAGGGGGTCCTAGAGGATGCCCCTCACATTTCCTGTCTCGAGGGGTCCTGGAGGACGCCCTTCACGTCTCCTGTCTCGACGGGGTCCTGGAGGACGCCCCTCATGTCTCCTGTCTCGAGGGGGCCCTGGAGGACGCCCCTCACATTCCTGTCTCGAGGGGGTCCTGGAGGACACCCCTCATGTCTCTTGTCTCGAGAGAGTCCTAGAGGACGCCCCTCACATTTCCTGTCTCGAGGGGGTCCTGGAGGACACCCCTCACGTCTCCTGTCTCGAGGGGGTCCTAGAGGACATCCCTCACAATTCCTGTCTCGAGGGGGTCCTGGAGGACGCCCCTCAGGTTTCTTGTCTCGAGGGGGTCCTGGAGGACGCCTCTCAGGTTTCTGGTCTCGAGGGGGTCCTGGAGAACGCCCCTCAGGTTTCAGGTCCTGGGAGAGTCCTGGAGGACCCCTCCCATGTCTCCTGTCTCAAGAGGGTCACAGAGGATGCACCTTCCGCCGAAGACTCTGCACCTTCTGCAGAAGACTCTGCACCTTCCGCCCAAGACTCTGCACCTTCCGCAGAAGACTCTGCACCTTCCGCCCAAGACTCTGCACCTTTCACCCAAGACTCTGCGCCTCTCGCCCAAGACTTTGAATCCGCCGCCGAAGAACTTGAATCTGCAGAGGTTCCTCAGCCTGGGGATCCTGAGTTTGCTGAGGCCTCCATGCAGACTACTGAGGCTCCCTTGCAGACACCAGAGGCCTCCACACAGACCACAGACATGTCCTCGATGCCCGCTGAAGCCCCCATGTGCTCCTCTATGCTCGCTGAAGCCCCTGTGTGCTCCTTGACGCCAGCTGAAGCCCCCGTGTGCTCCTCGATGCCCGCTGCAGCCCCGTGTGCTCCTCACTGCCTCCTGTGTGTTCCTTGCCCTTCGTGGGATGTTCCATGCCTGCGGCAGTATGCTGGGTCAACCTGCCTGAGGAACCGATGATTCTCCCACTTGCCTTTCCGCATGCTGGGCAGTCATGGACCCTCGGGGTGAACTTTTCCATTGGCCGTCCACCCGAACTGTGGACCCATGCTGGACGATCTCCCGGCCGTGACCCCGAACTCGCTCCTTGTGTTGGACGGCCTCCCAGCCGCCACCCCCCCCCCCCACGAACTCGCTCCTCGTGTCGGACGGTCTCCCGGCCGCCCCCCCCGAACTCACTCCTCATGTCAGACGGCCTCCCAGCCGCCACCCCCCCACCCCCTGGACTTTTGATGTTTTCTGGTGTTTAGTCTTTGTGTTTTGTTCCCAGGCCTCGTCCTGTCGGTTTTTGGTTTCTTTTCCTTGTGTTATTCTCGTGCCCTCCATCCTTGCAGTTCCTCCCTCCGCCCGCCCTAGTTTTTGTTTTTGGGGTTGGGGGTTTCTGGGGACACCAGGGGGCGTCCTTGAGGGGAGGGTACTGTAAGGATGGCGCCCTCTGCTGGGCCTTCCTTGTCTGTTTTCCCTGTTTTCTCTGATTGTCTCCACCTTCGTGTCCTGCCAGGTGTGTGTGATTGTTTCTCTGTGTGTGCTTGTACGTCTTTGTATTTCTCATTGTCTGGGCATTGTCTGGTATCGTCCTGTGTTTCTGGTTTTCCTTGTGTCCCTGGTTTCCCTCGAGACATGTAAGTGTTTGCTGCCACGTCAGCTTATTATTTTTGTATTATTAAAGTGCTTTAATTTTCTCCCTGGTCCTGAGTCCTGCCTGCGCTACTGGGTTCTGTGCCACTACTGGGTTCTGTGCCAAACACAATTCCTGACACCCCCCAACCCCCCGGCCTATAAAACCACTAGACTAATTTATAATTGTATTGAGCGTATTGAGAGCGGATGAGTGCTGCGCTGCGCTGCACGGGAGCTATACATTTTTCAAACAACCAATTCAAAATCTAATGGGCCAAATTAATATAGCTGATTATCGACACGCTTTCGTTGCTCGGGGGTGATGCGGTGTCGTGTCGTTGGCTCTGAGGACTGTTGAAGCCGTGAGGCCGATCTTCTGGCGTCGGGTGTGTGGGCGGTGGCTGCTGGTTGACGGCCTGCCTTCGAGAGCCTGGTGGACCTGGGTGCTGTGTCGGCTTTCGGCTGTCGAGTCTGGGGCTGCTGCTGTTGTGAGGAAGTGCGGCGGTGTGGGAGACTGTCGCCGTTGGATCCGCGTTCCTGCTCGGAGCCGAGTTACCGCCGTGGATCCTGGGAGAGTCTGGGGCTGCGGTGTCTGATTTCCTGGAGTCGGACGTCCGGAGGCCGCTGGGCTGCGGTGGAGATCGAGGCGCTGGTTGGATCCGTGATCTGACATTGGCTCTTGGCTAACGACTTGATAAACCACGGCCATCGGGCAGGTGGTTTTGTGAGTAATGGCAAAATCCAAACTAAGAAAACATGATTTGACTGAACAAAACTCTGACGATATGGAAGAAATACGGAAATCTCTGAACTTTATGAGTTCAGAACTTGTGAAACTAACATCACAACAGGAACTCTTGATAGGTTTGTTTGAAGAAGTCAAACAATTGAAATTACAAATAAATCTCAAAGATAAAAAAATAGTGGAACTCGAACAAAGGATTGACGACTTGGAACAGAACTCTAGACAAGATAACCTCGTTATAACTGGACTGGAAATTAAAAATCGCTCATATGCAAAAGTCGCTGCTGGTGAAGGAATTACTGAAGATGCAACTCCAATGGAACAGATGACATTAGAAGAACAGGTGGTCTCCTTTTTACAAGACAGGGAGATTGATATAAATCATGAAGATATTTCTTTGTGTCACACCTTACCCAGCAAATCTGAAAAATCTAAACCGGTTGTTGTTGTAAAATTCATTAGCAGGAAATCAAGAAATAGTGTAATCATGCAAGCAAAAAAACTAAAGGGAACAAAAGTTTACATAAACGAACATTTAACAAAAAGAAATGGAAATATTGCCCGTCAAGCTAGGTTGTTAAAAAAACAAAAAAAAATAGTTGCGACATGGACAAGAAATGGAAAAATCTGGATTAAAGCACAAGAAGGATCGCAAGCAAAACTAATAAAAGAACTGAAGGATTTAGAAAAATTTAGATGAGTCTAGAAGATGACTAATTATAGGTCTTCTAAGATTCTCCAGATTAAAGTAGATAAAGTGAATAACCTGATGAACAAATACACTGAATTATGATGACGTACGATAAATCAGAATTCAAAATATATAATGTTGAAGAGGTGATAGATAGAAATTTTTTTCCAGTTAATAAAGCCAGTAAATATTATAATGAAGAACAGTTTAACGATGTAAACATGGCGGATGAAGGTCTTTCTATTGTTCACCTGAATTGTAGAAGTTTAAATGCAAATATATCCTACATATTAGATTATTTCAAAGGATTAAATAAAACTTTTAAAATAATAGCATTATCTGAAACTTGGCTTAATGATGAGAATATGGATAGTGCATATGTTGAAGGGTATGAATTACATCATATGAACAGAAAAAATAAAAAAGGTGGAGGAGTGGCTCTATTCATAGATAAGGAAATAAAATGTAAAGTAATCAGTGAAATGTCTACAATTGTTGATAATATGATGGAAATGATAACAATAGAAATAATCAATAAAAATGGAAAAAACATTATAATAAGTTGTGTATATCGATCACCATGCTCAAAGATAGAAATGTTTACCGATAAAATATTGGAGTTACTAGTAAAGAGCAGAAATAAAAAAGTTTTTTTATGTGGAGACTTCAATATTGGTTTAGGAAATAAAACTGATTCAAATAACATCAGTACATTCATAAATTCAATGTATAGTTCAAATTTGTATCCGTTAATATCAAATCCAACAAGAATCACAACTCAAAGTGCAACAATAATTGATAATATCTTCACAAATATAACAGATGGTGATATGGTGAGTGGTATTTTGATGACTGACATTAGTGATCATTTACCTGTGTTCACTATTTATAAAAACGATGTCAGTATATCAAAAACACTTATAAGAAAGAATAAAATAATAAACACATCCAAAAAAGCATTAGATAAATTTAAAGATGACTTAGCTAAACAAAATTGGGGAGAAGTGTATACAGACGATGTGAACAAATCTTATGATAAGTTTATGAAGATTCTTGAAGTATTGTATAAAAAAAATTGTGTGCAAAAAAATTATATAAAGAAAAATACAGTTGATCATCCATGGATGACTAAAGGATTGAGAAACGCATGTAAAAAAAGAATTATCTGTATTCTTGTTTCCTGAAATCCAGAACTCAAGAGGCTGAAGATAAATATAAAAAGTATAAAAACAAATTAGTAGGGATTATAAGGAAACATAAGAGAGAATATTATAGTGAATTATTACACAAATGTAGTGGTGACATGAGGGCAGCATGGCGAGTAATGAACAATGTTATAAAAAAAACACAAGGATAATATGGGACTTTCACAACATTTTGTGGAAAATAATGTGGAAATTCATGATGAAAATGAAATCGTTAATGGATTTAATAATTATTTTGTAAATGTTGGGTCTAATCTTGCAGCTTCAATTCCTAAAGTGGATAAAAATGTGAGTTATTTAATCAATGGTTGTGTAAACAGTCTGTTTCTAGATGGAACTCATAAAGAAGAAACAATGAAGGTAGTTCAAAAATTTACTGGCAAAAGATCTAAAGATTGTGAAGACATGGATATGATGGTTGTGAAAGAAATAATGGGTCATGTTATTGAGCCATTCACATACATCTGTAATTTATCATTTTCAAAAGGAATATTCCCTGACAGAATGAAAATAGCTAAGGTAGTTCCTCTTTTTAAAAATGGTGAAAAATGTATATTTAGCAACTATAGACCTATATCTTTGTTGCCACAATTTTCAAAAAATCTTGAAAAATTATTTGTGTCCAGATTAGATAAATTTCTTGATAAACATAATATTTTAAGTAATAGTCAGTATGGTTTTAGATCAAAAAAATTCAACATCCATGGCTCTTATGGAGTTGATAGAACAAGTTACTACAGCGATAGATCAAAAACAACATTGTATAAGCATATTTGTTGATTTAAAAAAAGCATTTGACACCATTGACCACACCATTCTACTTGAAAAATTGAAACAGTATGGTATTAGAGGTCCAGCTCTACAGTGGATATCTAGTTATCTGAGGGACAGAAAACAGTTTGTACAGATTGATGATGTATGCTCTAATCTATGCAGTATCTCATGTGGAGTACCTCAAGGTTCAGTTCTTGGACCTAAGTTGTTTATTTTATACGAAAATGATTTAATTGAGGTGTCTGGTATCCTGAAAGGTGTTTTATTTGCTGATGATACCACATTCTTTTGTTCGGGTAAAAACTTGGAACAGATGTTTGAGTTAATGAAGATGGAGTTTGTTAAAATACAAACTTGGTTTAAATTAAACAAATTATCATTGAATGTTGCTAAAACTAATTTTATGATATTTAGTAAAAAAAAGATAACTGTGGATTTTCCTTTCAAAATTGATGGTGTTGAGATATGTAGAGTGAATGAGGTAAGGTTTTTGGGTGTAATTATTGATGATAAACTGTCATGGAAACAACATGTAAATTTTGTAAAAACTAAAATATCTAAGTCCATGGCAGTACTGTATAAAGTAAGGGATCTTTTGAATGATAATGCTTTGTGTTTGCTGTACAATACTTTTATAGTCCCGCATTTAATTTACTGTGTTGATGTTTGGGGAACAGCTTGTAAAACTATAACTAAGCCTATTTTTGTGTTACAGAAAAGAGCTATAAGAATTATAACAAGAAAACATTACTGTCATCCTACAACTACTTTATTTTATAAATTGAAATTACTTAAGTTTTATGATCTGGTGGATTATAATATTCTCCTACTTATGTATAAAGCTCAGAATTATATACTACCCTCGAACATTCAAGCATATTTTGTGAAAAGGAAAAGTTGTTATAATCTAAAGGGAACAGATATTTTTGTGAAACCAAAGTATAGGACTAGTTTAAGGGGTAGGTCTACTTCAATACAGGGAATAGGTTTTTGGAATAGTTTGGATGATGATGTAAAAAAATCAAAGTCAATGTTTATATTTAAGAAAAAGATTAAGAACATATTGTTGAATAGATACATATAGATTTAAGTTAGTTAATATCAAACGAAATATAAATGGAAAAATTGTGATCAGTTATGTAATTTTGTTGTATTATTTATAGATGATTATTGATTGAATTGATTGTTTGAATTGATTTTGTTTAAGAAGGGGCAGAAATAATAAGATTTTTTTTTCTTCTTCTGCTGCCTTTCATTTTATGTTTTGTATTTTACTCTCTTGTTTTGAAATTGTTATTGTGTTTTTAATTTGAAATGAATAAATAAATTAAAATTAAAAATAAAATTAAAAAAATCAGTAGCTGATTTACTGCAGGTAATTCAAATGTTCTTAATAATGTTTGCTTGTGTTTGCTTCGGTTACAAAACAACCAACTGAGTTTTTTTTTTTTTCCTAAAAGAAGAAGGAGCTGTCCTTCCACCAAGCGGACCGGTTCTGACTCGGCCCAGATGAACTGCAGGAGGACGTCGAAGAGAAAGCTGTTGGATGAACTATTTTTTAAAAATTCCCCTCAGTTCTTTTTTTCAATCCACTGAATGTTTTAAGTTGCATTAATCAAAGGAGTGACTTCCTGAATGAGCCAGATGGACAACATGGGACATCCAGGATGAAAACAGAGGAAGAGTCCAGTTCATTAATGCAGTTTACAGTTAACTTATTTTTAATAGTGTGTTCAGTTTAATTATCAGTGTTTGTGTGACATACAGATTTGTGGTGTTGAATAAATAGATAAAATAAAAATTAAACCGGATGTCTTCATTTTCAACGTTAATAACATGCAATATGCTTAGCATAATTTGAATCACATAATTTGAATTACATAATGTCCAGATAGCTTCATTATATATCACAAACTTAAGATAAATACTGTTTATTATTATTAAACTTGTTATTTAGCACATAGTATGTTCTAGTGCAGCGCGACGTGTAATGCCTCGTTCTATAAACTGATATTAGAACTGGATCAGATGGTGTCTCTTGCAACACAGATGTTGGTCACAGTACCTGGAATCTGACGTAGATTAACTACGAGATTAAAAATATATTCCTTCAGAAAGCACTGTGTCCGCCACCATGTTGATAGAAATACAATATAGCGTCTGTCCACGCGTGTGTGTGCGCATGTGGCTTAACACAAAGCCTCAGCGGGAGATGTTTACATTATCAGCGGGGG